TGGCCATTTCTTTGCCTTAGAGGAGAATACCTCTGGTTTTTATTTGCCTTTCAAATGATTTTCTGTGTTCCCATAAACAGATGTTAAAAAGATATTTTCCTGCTCATCTTCATCCATTACCTTTTTACTGGAAGGACCTGTAAACATTTACAGTAAGTGGTGCTCTTCTGATGTTAAGACTCGCTCTCTCTCCCTCTCTAGTTCACTTTGCATCTCTCTCCCCACCTCCGTGTCTCTCTCTGGGGAGGTGGAAGCACTGGGTCAGGGTCTCTCAGAGCTCCAGATCCAGATCCTATTTATAAACCCTGCCTGTCTGCCTCTGCTAGCTGGCAGACTACTGTTGAGGACGTAAGGCGGTGTGTGAGTAGGTGTCTAAGCACAAAAAATAATTTAAATATAATATAAAGAAAAAAAAAGAGGTGTATATACCTTATTCAGCCATTCCACTCTTTCCACATCTGGATAATGGACCTGGAATAGAAGATGGAAATGTATCAGTTAAAAACATGATTTACATTTATTTAAACAGCTCTAATGGAAAGGTCATGCTTTTCTGTAGGCGTGCCCTCATATGTGCCTCCTCTCCGTTTCCTGACATTACTATAGAGGACGCATTGTTTCTATACTTCTGGTTCACAAACTACATCACGGCTACTGTAATCTGTGGCATGAATTTACAGGCTCTTACATTAGGCTGCAAGGTAGAAAACAAAGCAATGAAACTGTAAAAAATAACCTGTAAAAAAATACATATTACATGCTTCTGGTCAAAGGTCAACGAGGAGATAAACAGTAAGGAGTTCAAAGGTCAGGCCACAAAAAATTACAGGAAATGCTTCAGTCTGTGTAGTAACTATGAAGCATACTGTAGCACTCCTGTTTGTCAGCTTATGAAGTAAACCTGGCAAAAACAAATTAAACCATTTTAAACCATTTTAAATTAGACATAAAATTCTAAGCTTAAACGATGCGCTGGTTCAATTTTAAAAGCTTAATGTTGCTGTTGAGCTGCACTGCATCACACCAAGGTGCAAAAACAAACAAGGAAAAAGGAAAGTGCAGGTCTGAGTTTACAACGAGGCTTCTTGCAGCATTTCAGTGAAAGCTCGTACCTTTGTTTTGGCATCGTGTTACCGCACATTCCTGTACTTTTCCCACTGATTCATTCATGCCAGTTCTCTTGGCAGAGCAGCGAGCCACAGAGAAAACACCGTAATGAAGTGTTTGATGCTGCGTGTAAAGACTCACACACACCTCCACTTTTCACTCATCGCTGTTGATGTCAAAGAACTGTTCATGATAGAACTTCAGTTGTGTTGCTGAGGTGAAAACAAACCAATTGGCTACAACAGACATTTCTCTGAAAACCATCAATGTGTACCTCATTGTTTACAAGACGAAAAGTCATCAAAGTAATTAGAGTTCTTCCTCTGGGGAACATGAACATCTGCACTGAATCTCATCCTAATTCATCCCATCACAGCTGAGACGTTGGAGTAGCTACAATAACTAGGGATTCTTCCTAGCAACTAACTTGCTAGTAAATAAAATATTACATGGAGAGC